TAGGAGTTTCTTTATATCACAGTAATCACTTTGAGTATCACGTTAGTCTTACTCAAGACGGTATTGTTGTCTATACACAAAAAGGGGTTTCTTGATTTGATTGTGTACATGGATAGCAATTTTTGGCGTGCGAATTATGATTCTCATGAGAAACAAATCATAAGGGACTGCAACAAAGTCTGTTCATTCTTCATTCTCTTCTTCACGTTCTTCGCTAACGGCACCGTTGTGTGCTTCACATTACAACCAATTGTAGGTGAGTTTAACCGTCTCAGTTTGACATTCCATTAAAACACTCGCACCGAGCATGTTTTTACCAACTGCAGATTATAAAATACACATTTTTGTTTAATACATGAAATATTTTATCTCGTTACGGGCCAAGCAGTGAAATAACAGGAGTTTTAAATATACGATGTTTTATTCTTTGCAAAATCACGTTCCGAAGTGGAAGATGGAATAGTAACGAAAGTATTATTAAGCAAATCCTTGGAATTGCCTTTCATAAGTACAGTGTTGGAAAATAGTATTTAGTAATGTAAATTAGTTGACAAAAATTTGCAAGTAAAATGTTACATTAACGTAACACTGCTCCTTAATGGGTTACATAGTAAGAGGTCAATCTTGTTCAACCTTAATTACTCTTACTCTTAAAACAATTTTTAGTATATAAACATTAGGTTGTAAATAATTACACAATTTTTTACATTAAATCTACAAATTTTTTGATTTCATTGTTCAGATAATTAAGTGTAATTATTATAATATTTAATGTTTAAAAGGAAGCATTGTGTATTGTGCTCTACTTCACCATTATGCTTGTGAGCTTTATATAGATATGTATCTGTTACGCTTGATGTAACATCAGTTTACCGCATTTAAAGTATAATTATTATTACTTCTGACTTAGAAGTAAATCTTGTACAGGTAGCCCTTGTATAACACGATAATTCATATCCGTATTACAGAAAACCGTGTTAAATAAAACCGTATTCAACAAAATATTGTTATTTGATGAATACCAAAAATGAATACGTTTAGAAAATATAAGATAAAAGCCTCGTGTTTTAAAGACTTTTAATGACTTTAAAAATTCGTGACATTAATATTAAAAAAGTTTCGTGTTATACGAGGGATATCTGTACAATTTTGGTTTTCTACTAATCCCTCGTTGTTTGCAACGTAATTTGTAGAAATTACAGAAATATTCAATTATTCTTACTGTTATTAACGTTATTTTCTGTTTACATAATGCTTGTAAATACGCTTTCAGTAAAATATCGAAATACAAAAATTAACAGAAAGCGTGTACGTTCCAGAGAATATGGGCAGAAATAAATCTGATAGAAAGTTACCGTTTGAAATGTATTTCACAGAGGCGCGATGGCTATCCGTGTCTCCTTACTTCGAAATGGTCTTCGTGGCCGAGGTATACTCTGAACCTACTGACAAACAAAATATATTTCTAATGGTATCGTTATGCAGACTGCAGGGGAAATTAATTTTGATTGTAATTTGGACTTACTTACAATCCGAGTGTATTGATTTAAGAAGACTATCATAATATCTGAGTTATGAATTTCCGCATTTGTACTACGTGTAAATTCGAAAAATTCAATTATACAACAAAATATCAAATTTTTAAACAAATTTCAACACTTCGTTTGCAATCTAATGGAATATTCCAAAGCACAAAGAGATGAATTTGCCTAAACAATCACAGTCTAATGATACTCTCCACTGCAATGTGCATAATAGATTTACCATTTAACCCTTTGCAGACGATCAACTCATACGTATATCTAATTACTCACAAATGTATCCTACCACGCTATAGATGTAACACATATATTCCCATATTATTTACAATTACAGGCAATTTTAGTCATAAAGAAGAGGAAATTTTTGTCACCACATTTGATTATTTTAGTGAGCACTAAAAAAGGGTTCATGAATGTATTAAGTAATGTATGAATAAGTAATCTACTATATTTTGTCCAATTCAATATTTATTTTCTGGGAAAGCAGAGGCCTATGCAATTTCACTGATAGTTGTCCTCGTTCCTCATGGAAGGATATATTGAATTTAAGCTATGTTACCAGCAATTTAACCCATAACTAGTGAAATAGAAATCCTATTACTTATTACACAAATATTATTACTTATTTGTATATAACTAGTTGGTTTGCATTCACACGTAAGAAAACGTCGAAATAAACCAGCATCTGTTTAAGTAACTATTGACTAGAAATAAAATATTCTACGAATATTAACAGGATTACGATAATGGAATAAAAATTAAATATTCTAAAAATATTGATAAGGCCCGCCAGTTAAGGGTTAAAAAGAAATAGTGAATTATTTGGTTGGTGCATCTGATATAATACCGTTCCCAGTCTCACAAATCGTTTCATCTCCACGAGTGTTCCGTTCGCAAAGGGTTAATATCATTGCCATCGAAACAATTACGAGACAAGCCTAACTTACGGTTGCAGATAGCCACCTTGTTCCACATTGCCCTCGGATATTTCTGTTTTGACAACTTTTTGTGCATCATGAATATCCACGTGACCGGACAATTTCGAATATTACAGTATAGACTGTCAAAGCTGTACGAGGAGAAGATGTTACAAACGGACGACCACACGCCCGACAAGATTCTGCTGCAGTACACGACGAAGTGTTACGCCGCGTTGCAGAGTTGCATTCGACAGCACCAGGCGTTGATCACGTACTGCAACGTGCTCGAAGTTGTGTTCTCGAAGATCGTATTGGGACAAGTGTTAACATTCAGCGCTTTGATATGCCTTCAAGGTTACCAACTTCTGCTGGTTAGCGAGCACTGATTTTCTATTATTAGGGGGTTACATACCTTGGGGCTGTTAAATAAGAGGGAAAAGTAAACACTTTTGTTGTATATGCAGAAGTATTGTTTATTAGAAATTCAACATATACATTTTGTTACATGTTATTTTCTTGGTACTGTCTGAAAAATTGAGTTACCTATATATCTATACCTGTTTCATCAAAACACCATCTACGGTACCAAATATGTATATCTCTGTGAGTTTTTATCTGAAATAAGTATTTTAAATTTGATATTAAAGTAGACAAGAACTAGTACTTATCGAAACCGATTGTGAATATATCAATATTCTACAAAATAGCGGCTGTTTGAAGTTAAACTTGTAGTTTCCAACATAATTTTTCAAATTTTTTTGCTACTAAAAAAAGAAAAAATGAAGTACTAGATTTTAGTCTTAAAAATATTACTACAAAGTTTGACCCAAATTGCTTCAGTAGTATTTTAAATATTTCCGGTGCCGATTTTGAAAACTGTATTTTGAGTACAGATTCCTCTCGATTATTGTCCCGAACTCGGGTTCGCGACGGGACAATAATTTATAGGGAGAAATGCTTCAGACCTTCGTAAACTCTTTTGCCCGAAGCGCAAGCCTCGGCCTTCCTTCCCACAATGATAGGGATAACGCATGGACAATAATCGTGTAGAACAAGCCAGACAATAATCAAGAGGAGTCTGTAAAACGATTTTAAATGGCAGCCATTTTCTTCTATTGATACACATACGAGGTTCGTTCAAAGAAAAGGTGACTTTTTATTTTTCTCGAAAAATATTTATTTATTCATCAATATCTATTTTGTCCCTTTCAAAGTAATCTCCCTCAGATATACTACACTAAGCCATGAATTGTTTTGCCACAAATCCGGGCGTTTTCTTCGTATTGCTTCACGCAAACGGCGTATAACTTGAAGGTAATATTCTTTATTGACCGTACGACCTTTTGGCAAGAACTCATGATGCATCACGCCATTGTAATCAAAGAAAACAGTGAGCAAAACCTTCACATTTGACCGAACTTGGCGTGCTTTTTTCGGTTTTGCCTCTTCTGGCTGCTTTCATTGGGATGATTGAGCTTTGGTTTCGACGTCATAACCATATACCCATGTTTCGTCACCAGTTATGACCCTTTTGAGCAAATCTGGATCGTCGTTGACGTCATTCAACAGCTCCTGAGCGATGCTTATGCGACGGTTCTTTTGATCAAAATTTAGCAATTTCGGAACAAACTTCGCTGCCACACGTTTCATGCCCAAAACATCCGAAAAAATTGCATGGCATGAGCCAACCGATATGCCGACATCCTCAACAACTTCTCTAATAGTGATTCGACGATTCTCCATAACAATTTTCTTCACCGCTCCAACGTTTTCATCGGTTGTTGACATGCTGGGGCGTCCAGGGCAGGCATCGTCATTAACATCTTCTCGGCCTTCTGTGAAAAGCTTGTACCACTTATAAACAGTTTTTTTGTAACAAACAAAAAAAATCGAGAATCTATTATAATATACGTAGCCCGCGAAATTTGAAAAGTTACCTTTTTTTTAACAAACCTCGTATATTCAATTTTTCAGAAATTCTTAAGGAAATAACATAATAAGATGTATATGTTGAATTTTTAATGAACAATAATTCTGCATAACTATACAATACGATTTTTTTCATTTTTTTCTCTTATTGAACAGCTCAAAGGTATGTAACTTCTTCAAAGAAAAAAGACTGCCTATAATAACGTTTGTAGAACCAACAGTAGCAAGTTGGAAACTACTATTTGCGTGTCATGACGTTACCACACGGAACGTATACAGTCAGGCACAAAAGTTTCCACCCACCCCATGCATATAACATATGGTACACACACAATGTTAAAGGCGTAGAGTACTAATTATCATCAGCATCGGTGTAAACATTCAATTAACCTTTTCGCTTCGGGGTGGGTTAAGGATGGCCGAGAATTTGAGTTTACTTTTTTTTTATTTACGACCTTGAGAATTACGAATTTGAAATCTAATACTGTCTATTTGGAAACGTGAAGAAGTTATCAATTTTAAATTAAAAAATTATCAATTTTAGAACAAACATAGGTTTTTCCAGATTGAATTCTTGAATAATGAATTTTTCTGATCTACTCGTGCCTTCTGACACACAAACTACAAATTCTTTCATTCGAAGACAAAAAGTTTGAAAAAACAACCAGAAATTTGGAACATGGTAATATTTGAAACAGTTGATTTCGCATAACGTAACTTTACACTTATCGCAACTAGTTCCAGGTCTCCCGTCAATTTCATGAGATTCGAAAAGTTGAAACGATTCTATTTAGTAAACAATTAGTCATTTAGAACTCATCCACTCGGACGAATTTTTATTGCAGGAATACCAAAAAAATCAACAAATTCACACTTTTTAAAATAAGGCTGTGATTTTGCTTCGACATTGATTCATTAATTTTTTTCGTTGGCCTGATAGCTAGTAATTTGTAGTTAATAAAAAAACAAAAGGTGTTTCCCCTACTCTATCGTCTAGCGGGAAATTCTCAATGGATTCCTAGATTCAGCCCCGGAGCCAAAAGGTTAAATACAGGGTATTTCACGTAACTTGACCACCTTAAATACATCGCTTATTTTGTATGATAGAAAAAATATCAGGGGAGAAAAATATTCTGTTTGAAGGCGCCAATACGGTGATGGGCCGAATTTTTTTCTCAAGGTCATTTTTTTCGAGATTTCAAGGTCATCGAATTATTTTTAAATGGGACTACATATTTTCACTACAACACACTTATAGCATATAAAAAAACAAATCCAACGAGGTGCAATATGTTGACCTTCACGTGACCTTTAGCGAAAAAATCATGAAATGTTTGTCAGTAAGCTCAGTACGCGTTCGGGGACAGTAAATGAAGGAATTCCATCAGTAAATAACACATAATCAAAAAAATGTTGATTATTCTGTACTTGCTTCAATGCCCAGTTACAGAAGACACGTCGTTTTTCAAAATCGTTATCATCAAGTGCTTGATGTAACGAAACACGGTATGGATGGAATTTGTTGCGATTCAAAATTCGTCAAACGCTTGTACAAGACAAGGCAGACTCGGATGCAATCTGTGAGCAACTAACATGAGGATTTGCTTGTACTGCAGCCAAAACTGCAATTTCAGCTCTTTCGTTTGTGTTAGTTTTAGTACGATTTCTTTTAGGTGAAACGACACTGCCTGATTCAGTAAATAATTTTACCATGCGGTCAAAATTTCGCCTGGAAGGAACGCGACGATCAGGATGTCTTTCTTCATACAACCGTTGTGCATGCGTTGAGTTCCTTCCTGCTTCTCCGTAGATTAAAATCATTCAACTTTTTCTGCTGTAGTGTACATGATGGATAAGCACTGAGATACCGATACTGCACCTTGTTGTACTGATACTGATTGTAAAGCGATAATCGCTTGCTAAGATTACCTTAACCCTAAGATTTACTTTGATAATAATGCTTGTAAACATACTTCAGCCGATGAAAGGTGAATACGAATGTCTGTTTACAAGCACAAGGGACAATTACACGGTACACTGTTCCAATGAAATTGAAATTCCTTTATTTACCGTCCCCGAACGCGTACTGAGCTTACTGACAAACATTTCATGATTTTTTCGCTAAAGGTCACGTGAAGGTCAACATATTGCACCTCGTTGGATTTGTTTTTTTATATGCTATAAGAGTGTTGTAGTGAAAATATGTAGTCCCATTTAAAAATAATTCGATGACCTTGAAATCTCGAAAAAAATGACCTTGAGAAAAAAATTCGGCCCATCACCGTATTGGCGCCTTCGAACAGAATATTTTTCTCCCCTGATATTTTTTCTATCATACAAAATAAGCGATATATTTAAGGTGGTCAAGTTACGTGAAATACCCTGTACATTTTAGACTAAAGTACGTGCCGTTGAGAATTACGACTGTCAGTAGAAGTAACCAGAATAATGCACACAAAACTGTTCGCTCAAAGTCAATATTTACTTTATACAAACTTGTTTACAATAATTTTTTACTTTATCGGACATCCCTTCGATTTTACTGTTAGTTTTAATCTGTCGTGCCCCAAGACCGAACTAGTTTCTTGAGAAATGCTGTGTGCCCGTTTTCTTTTTAATCCAAAGTAATAAAGAAATAAGAATAGGGGCCAATATTAGCGTCGAAAACGATTAAAACGCTACTGCATTGGGAAAGATCGTTGAATAGTTAACCCTTGTATAATCAGCAAATTTAGGGACCAATTGCTAAATAGTTCAGAAAAATGTCATATTAAAAATACTGAAATCTTTAAAATACTATAAAATGTTTGTTTCGTGTGATGGGACAAAGAAAGGAAATTAGTTTACCTTTCCCCCTGATTGTTTGCCCGTTACGTATCATTTTGATTGGCAAACAAGCAGTATTTGGCTACAGCAGGCAATAAAAGGTGATAACGATATGTTTAATCGTCATGGTGAGTATTTTCGCAAGTAGGTGGGGCATCGACAGATCGTTACTTTGAGCCTAAGAGGGTTAAGTAATTTTAACATAAATGATCATAAATACCATTCGCAAATCGAATTCAGGTTAAAACCATCAATACTCAACATGATGATGAAAGATCACACTTTTTCATGTATAGTTTATATGAGGCGTTACGGATAATAAAGACAAATTCGACATTTTGTAAACAAATTTCTTAATTTACCAACTTGATCTACGACAGTCAACACATATATCCATGGCTACATTTGGTGAGTACATCTCTCTTATTTCTATCATAAACTAAGGTTTTATAGAAAATGAAAAAGAACACTTTTGAGCGTTTACAGTGACGGTAGTAAGGACGAACGCCACAGTCTGCACTCTACCATACTAGACTCCTTCTAGGCTCATCCACTTGTTATTTTAGTATTATAATTAAAAAGTACTTGTCGAACACATTGTAAGTGCTAAAAAGCA